CTCTACAACCAGGGCATTCATTCCATCCCTTCTACTGGGTGAACTTCAGGACCAGGTGGGACCTACTAAGGCTCCGAGCAATGCCACATCACAGCACCAGCAGAATTTTCCTTCTCCATTTTGTACAGTGCAACTTAATGGCCCTATCGACATCTTCTGTGATATACGTCCTATGATCAGTGCAATTACTGCATGTCATCACCACTGTAAATTTACCCAGCCTGAAACCATTTTAAACTTAAACTGCATACTTAAGAACTACTATCCACCTCCTCTTTGTAAATTAGCTATATGATTTATCTGTGGGAACCATTTCAAAAAGTATACATTCAGAAATACATATACCACATGATGTCTTTTCCATATGGCATCTCATAATTATTTTGCTGTGTGTGAACATGATGAAAACAGTTTCATAATTCTCTAAGGGTTAGGGTAAATTATTTCAATTAGACATATTTCAGAGCAAACATTACCTTAGGGTTTATTAATAATAGTACCTGAGAAGGAACAGCTGCCTTTTAAGCAGTGAGAGCTGTCAGCTTCTCACTGCCCCCCCTGTAGCACCCCTTTTGTGACTCTAAAAAAATGGCAGATTTTCTCATGCTTTACCTAAACAGAGAACTTGGCAGCAGAGACCTGGTTGTAATCCTCAGCAAGGGAGCTGGTGGGTGGATTTTTTCCCTATAAACTCTTGTATAAACCACACCAGTCTCCTGGTATTTATTTTGTGTAATGTTGGAAATCATACACAGATCCAACAGGCCATGTAAAAGAGTTTTGTAACTTCCTGAAATCCTTTCAGACAAAATCTTTTCTCCAACAGTGGTCCCAGGTCATGGGGATATCATCACCAGTTTTTAAGGGCAAGGTTCCTCAGCCGTTTGTAAGAGCAGAACTTTGAAACTAGGCAACGAAAATCTAAATTAGATCAGCTAATTATTAGGAATTGCTAATGGAATTATTAAAAAGGAAATTAGGTTGTTGAGGTATACAGACCATTTTGTAAGCACTGAGCTTACAAGCAGCCTGTGTGACAATTTTTAGTGCCCTATTCCTCATCTAGCTGTTTTTATGTATTAATACTGTGGTATGGCATGCACCGATTTTGAACTACAGCTTCTGTGGTTACACCTTCCTGCAATTAATACTATTACATTTAAAGGCAAATGCTTAAGAATCACTTAGGTGTATTCAACTCCCTAAAAACCTGAAGCTGAAGTGTGCTGAGAATCAATTCCTCTCTCTCCTCACCCTACTCTGCTTGCAGGGGTGAGGAAACTGACCTTAAATACACAGTCATTACAGCTGGGTTGAAGAAAGGGACAGAGTCTTTAGGGTGATAAATAATACAGATGCAACTGTGGAGAGGGCTGGTGTGACTGACTCCTCGCTACAAACTGTGGGCTGGAATAAAATCTGCCATGGAGCTCTAGGTCTGAGTGGGAAGTAGGGAATTAGCTCCCACCAGATCTGCTTATCCATGAGCACGCATGAAGGAGAGCTGGAGGCACCCCGTATAGACTGAAAAAACTGAGAGCCCTCTAATAATGTCTGTGAAAACGTTTTAGAATAAATATGCTGAGAAATCAATCCATCAGGTGTGGGTGCTCCATCCCTGGAACTGGTTCCATTGGATGGAAATTTGGGCAAACTGACCTAGAGAGAGTTATCCCTGTCCATGGGAATGGGTTGGAATTAGATGGTCTTTAAGATCCCTTCCCATCCAACCCTTCTATCATTCTATGACTGTCAGTCTTTGAGTCCTGCAGTCCTTGGGTAGCTATGAACTGAGATGGAGCAGGCATCTAATTTATATTGTGTATTGCTGCCATCACCTATAGATACATATTTACTTTTATATAAATAGCAAAAAAGGTACAAAGGGAATATCCATCCATCCATAACTGTTGGTATAATAAACACATACACTGCCTATGTTGCTTGAAAGCTAATACCAGGATATCTAAACTGCTTAGCTATCACCAGGCCAAACACGAGAATTACACTACATCATTATCACACTTAAATCTTTGCATCTTAGCTACAAGAGGCAAAAAAAGCCTTTTTAAAGAGAAAAATTGATTGGTAGAAGGCGTTCAAGCTATAAAGTATTTCCTTTTGGTTCAGGTCCTAGTATTTTTGCCTGGCTCAGCTTCAGGCAGCTCTATAACTCTGCTGAATGATTTCCAAAGGGCCTCTTGCCCATATCTTTGTGCAAGAACACTCACACTTAGCCATGAAATTGCCACAAGAGAAACTGTTTGCTTCCCTGTCTTCTATGGCATTTTGATTTCCCTGGGACTTCCCAAAGAGGAACTTTGCATGGTCCCAGCCCCACAGAGACATTTAGTACTGGGTGCCACCACCTGAAAAGCCAGGACTTTTTCTCTCACCCACTTGCCCTACTCCTTTGCATAAAAACCCAAAGGAAGAGAATGAGAACCCAGAGCCTCTGATCCCTTAAATATTTTGAAAAAACAAGCCAGTTGTTTCACATTGGGTCTACTGTTTCATTTGGAGAAAAACATATTCTCAGTGGTGGAAGCATCTGATCTCTTTCTGCATGTCATGCAAGGAAAGGACTGCTATGATAAGACCTCTAAACTGTCCTCTCTGCTTAATCTCATTATTTATTATTTCCCCATAACTAGACAAACATAATTACAGTTCATATGGTTTTACACTTTTCAAAATACCACACTTTACTGGAGTTCAATTCTTTGAACAAGTGTACTGAAGAAATGATGCTTACATGTTGGTTCTCTCTGCCAGACCTTTCCTTCCTTAACCATTTGCAAATCCATTGGCTCATTTCAATCCAATTCAAAAGAGATAGAAGCCCTGGAGATAATTAAATTCCTGTAACTTCTGCTAATATTGGCAGCTAGAGACAGCTAGAGACAGGTAGGAGATTAAAAGGAGTGCCTCTGCTGCAGGAAGACTACAACATGAGGCTCTACGGCACCATTTATCTTGGTTTGGCCACAGCCAATAGGTACATGTGGGTTTCTGCACAGCACCCAGCCTCTCATACAAGCAGCAGCTCAGGGAAAATGGAGGCATCATTTGTAGGATGCATGAGGGGATGGGAAGGTGAAAAACTAGTCAGGAGAGTCAGGAGATGGAGGGCCCACATTCAAAGGAACTGAAGCTTCAGCAATTCTATGTCTGAGGGAAAAATGTTTATGCTGTTGTCCTTATTTCCACAATGTCTTATTCTCAAAGCACTGTTTTAGTCATTTTCTACATTGCAACACATTGAGAGCAACCAAACTGACAGGACTGCCTGATATCAAGTGTGGAGAATTTTTTATCCAGTTCTACACCCAGGCACAACATCTTGTCAACTGCCTACTGCTTTTGAACCTTGAAGATTACAGCAGCAATGCAGCAAGGGCTTATATCACCATTCATCTGTACTGTATCTTCTTGCATACTGCAGGGCTCATGCTCATATCTGTTTACAGTAACACTGCACAAATAAATCACATGTACACTCCTGGTCAACAATTATGCAATATTCTCTATTGGCAATGGGACTAGAGTGGGAGTTAAGAGACAGACTTCTATCTGGTAGTAAAAGGTTGTGGGACTACAGAAAGTTGTGTGTTTTTTTCCTCCCCTCTGTCCATTTTTCCTCTTCCACACTTTGCCTCATTTATTAGTTCAAACTAAAAGTTTGAACTAAAGGAAAGCCCTATTTTCACCAGATATTTGCATGAGGGAGCCCTTTCTTAGCTGAAGTCCAGATGGCCTATAGCAAAGTAGATAATAACAAGACTCACACATTAGCTTTCTTATATCTGTATGACAACATCACCATTGAAATGGGAATACTTGACTATTCTGTAAGAATACATTTTCACTTGTATGTTTAGCTGTAACAGGCCCACTAACATACAAACACAAGAACTTAAAAGTGCCTCCATGAGAATTAATGAACAGTCCAACAAAGATTAGATTTGTCTTCTGCCAAGAAATTAATAATCTTAATGCATCAGAGATTTTGCCATGCCTGCCTAGTTTTGAATGCCATGTCCAGTCAGTGAACACATTTACCCTACTCCAAGAGAGAGACCAGACTTCTCCCAATTGTTGTCTACCACTCACAAGCCTGTCTCAAGCCCATCCACAAAGTTCCTTTGCTTTTTGAAGAAAAGAGATTTTCCTTGACAAAGGTGATTACCAGGCATTAAAGGCTAATCTTAGGTTTACTAATTCACATTTTTATCATATTTCTTAACTAGTCAAAAGCAAATCCCTCTTGCTCATACCTTGTTAGGTTAATATTGCATGCTACCATCACTGGTATTTAATCATTGATCAGGAAACAAAAAAATCTGAAGCAGAGCTATTAACATGAGCCAAAGTGGTAAGGTCATGCACTTCAACATGCTTTTCAGGTTATTTTATTTAATCCCAACGGGCTTTTATTTTGTGTGTCAATTTGTATAATAAAGTTGTTTTATGAGATTTAGCTTGCTCATATGTTGTTAGTGCACTTAATTAAACTCAAATGCTTGATCCCTTCTAGGGCCCTGATTCTATCCTGAAACAGTGTTGTGTGGGCCATTATTGAGAGAAAGTCCATGTAATTTGACACAAATTACAAAGGACTCCCTGAAGTGTTTCCTTGTATGTTGGATGAAGGGAAGAAGAATGATGAGGATGAGCATGAGCTGTTGAACTTATCCATTTTGAAGGGAAGGACTGTAAGAAACACTTGGACCTAGTTCTAACACCCATGCAGTCTGGAGGCATGGCTTGATTTGGGTCCATCTGTACCCAAAAGCAGGGATAAATAATACATGAAGGGCTGCAGCTGCCTCCTGATTAAACACTGACCTACCAGCCCTCTGCCACAACACGAGCCCACACACCTCCAGATTCATGGCAAATCCCCATAACTACAAGGTTTGACTCTGCCCTCCAATACAACCAAACTACAAACACCCAAGATATATCTTTTCCTGCCCATTCTGCAGTAGTTTCCTTACCTCCACCATCTCCAGATGTCGCTCCACAAGGTACATGGTAAGACTTGAAGCAGACCCATTTCCAGCCCTCTCGTTTGTCTAATCCTGGTCACTACATTTCCCAGTAAAGGTGCTGACATTTGTTTACAGCTATGACTGAATCAGACCTGTGAGGTATAAATAACAATTACTAGTAAGTAATTTCTCTTAGAAGAAATAACTGTAAGCAATTTTCCCAACATTTCTTGGTTATGCCCAGATTTCTACAGTGCAGTGACTCATATAAAACAAGCCCAATTATTTTAGTAGTAGGCGCACTAGAAATATTCAAACAATCATCAAGATAGCATGACTACCTAAGAAAGGCTGAAAGGGTGGCATAGTCAGGATTGAGATCTGATGTTCCACTTCAGCTAAATATTAGGTAAAAGGTAAGATACGTATTAGAGTTGTTCCACACCTGAAAACATGGAATCACTTAATCACTAAAGGTTTATTGTAGTGTGGCCATCAAAATCAGACAGAAAACTCTTACAAACTCAGCCTTCATTAACATAGTTCCATTTCTTTAACAAACGCAGCAAAAAAATGTGGAAAATAACACGACAAAAATTAAGCAGAATGTTCTTATTTTCACAGAAAGATTTGGTTTTAGCTTTTGGGAGGAGATTGAATCGGCTGACATTTTCATACAACCAGTACATCCTTTCGTCACTGCTGAACTGAGTGAGTTCAAAGTCGCTGTACAGAAATATCTGGCGGGCCAGTTGTGGATCTGACATTCAGAATTAGGCAGATGGTAAGCACGAAAATACAGTCTGGGTTAAATACTGACCACATTTGCCAGAAGCACAGACAGAGAAACCCTATCCACGTCCAGATCATAGGCGGAGCACATCCAGATCTATCAAAACATAAAGAGCAGAATTCAGTATAAATTATTCCATCTTAATAGTACATGGACATCTGACAGTATTTTTCTTTCATGCACTTTTCCTTCAAAAGGACGGAATTTCGCTTTGTGCTGGACACTTTGGCCAAGTGCTTTTTCCCAAATGGATGCAATCCCCTTTCTGATCTGAGTGCCTAACACCAGTCTCCTACCATCTCGTCCAGACACTCTGCCCCACTGCGCTGACGGCTAGGAGGTGATATTTAAAGCCATGCCAATTGAGCACAACAGGGGATAGGCAGAGCAGAAGCAACAGAAGGAGGATTTTGCAAGAGCTCTCTAGGTCACGTTAAACTCCTTCTCTGGCCACGTCCAATGTCCAGCCCGTATGCCTGAAAATCTTTCTTTAAGCTGTTGTTATTTATTTGGAAATTTACTGTGGCTGTGGTTTAACTCCGCATTTCAGAGCTATCCTTTAATTGATACAGTGCTCTTCATCCTTCATAAACAATAATCAAAGGCTCCAATACCTTGGAGGACAGGGAGGCAGGTGATCAATACCAGAGGATGACCAGGTCTCTGTAGAAACGTTATTTATACATCAAAATTTATACTGAAGTCTGTAAAAGCTGTATTCTTCATTAAAAGACTCGTACCTTTGGCTAAGCTTCAGTAAAAGCCTCGCAGACAAACTTCTTTGTTTCTGGCAGAAATAAATATTTATTACTGAACTGGGAAAAATACTCTTACAAAGTCTAACTATTTTAATAAAAAATTTAATATGTTTATTTCTTCCAGACAGGAGATAAAAAGCTGTCAGACAAATAATGGTTTAAATTACAGTGAGATGTTTTCTTTACCTAATCTTTCTTTTTCTTCTTCCTTCAAATCTATGCAGCATGCTCTGAATTTTTATTTTTAGTAAGAAATGTCAAGGAAACACTTTATAGTAAGTGGCTGTTCACTATTAATTCTTTTGTTATTAAACTTGGGCACATTAATTAGCATTAATCGCTTTGGCACTAATATAGATTTCCCACAATAAAGTCTTTACACACATATACAGACCCTATAATCTAATCAAGCAATTTTCTCCTACCTACTTGGAAGGGAGAAAAAGAGCAAGGCTATTCTCGTTACTTCTACTTTTCTTTTTTCCAATTCTGAGAAGGAGGTGGTGCAGGAGAAATGGAACCTATACACGAACAGAGAAAATAACTATTGCCACACTCAATGTATGTACTACTCAGCCAGTAGCTGTATGCTATAGGTGACATCACTGACATTTTGATAAGGAAAATAGATGTATGCAGCTCACAGTCATCAAGCAAATCTATTTCTTTGCAAAAGCTGAGATGATAATAAAACATTGCTTTTTTTCTTAAGAAAGGAAATAACATCTCAAATAGTTTAGTAGTAAATAGCACAGTGATTTCTAATGCTGTTCTGATGCAGCCCAAATTTCCAGCATCGTAAGTGGATGCTGCTCTTTAGACAAACATAATAGAAATTTACCAAAAAGCCTTCCTTATGAAGAAGGAATTCAAAGTTAGAAACGCTACTTGCTGTGAACAAGGTGATCACAGGAGTTATGTCCTGCTCTGTCAGGCTCCGGAGTTTTACACAGCAGAAAACTGAGCTGCTGAGCTCTTGTCAAGCAAGCCATGATCACATTTACTAATTTTCACACTGACAGGTATTTTCTTTAAAGCACTGCAGAGAACTTTGCTAAATAAGGTTGTCATTACTCCTCAGATGCCCTAACTTGAATAAACATGATGAATGAATATGCTGTATTTCTCAGAACAAACAAGCTGCAAGCATGGAAGCTACAGTGTGACTGATTAAGTATGTATGTTGCTTGCCAAATCTCTGCAGATCAACCCAGGACTTAAATCTCACTTTCACTTTTAGACTTATAATTATTCTCAGAATGAAGTTTCCATAATGAACGCTTAGAACCATTTATTTCAGATATTGATTTACAACTGGAGGCCTTACATTAATACCTTTCTTGGTCGCTGCGGGCCTTCACCACTAATCAGGCTCGGCTCTGTGCAGGTAGAGGAGAGAAAAACTGCTCAGTGATACCCTTCATGGCATAAGGTCCAGACGTAGCATCTGAAAGGCCAAATTCATTCATTCAGTATCCAGCAGCAAAGCATTACAGCCACAAACCAGCAGCTCCTTAAGTCCTTTCTTCTCACTTCATGTAAGATTGAATTTAGCCCTTCCTTGCAAAACTTGAACAAATCAGATTGAACTTCTCATCCTACTCGAGTTCCCACTCTTTTTGTCTGAACCTTTGAGCTCTTCAACATATTTCCTTCTATTCCCAAGAACTCAGGTGTCTTTTGCTGTCTTTTAAAATCATTCAAGTAATGCACATTTTGATATAAAATTCAGTGTTTAGAAAAAATGTTTTTTCCCTTTTTCTTCCTCAAAAACAAAAACAACGAAAAAAAGGAACCAACAAGACACATCCCAACTTCATCAATTTGTACATCCGGCTTCCCCAACCTAAATCTTACTATCACCCTCACATATTGCAAATTGCTGCTTTCAGTAGGCAGCTCACAAGTATTACATATATGTTTTTAAGGAAGCTGGGAAGATGCAGAGATGACATGCTAGTTGTAGATTGTCTACCTGCAACAGTGTATGGATGCACTGAGTTCACACACCTTCCTTCCCTTAACATTTTAAGAGGCAGAAAGGTTGAGACCTGAGTCTTTGTGGCCTTCCACAACAGAATAGACCATCCTTGCTATGGAGAACACCACTTAAAATGTAGCATACAACCATTCTGATCTGGGAAAATCATGGGTTTCACTTACAAAATAAATACTTGCAATGCACTTGACCAAATTCTCAGTCAGCATTTCCTGGTTTACACCAGGTGAAGATCCTGCCTTTGTAGGCACAGAGCTTTTGAGAGCAACATTTATTATATAAAGAGATTGACTGTATTCTACAAGTGCTTGTAGAATGCACATAAAACCATGATAAGGACAAGTAAATTCCTTGCTGGAAGAACCTAGCTGCAACAATTCCACCTAAAAATACTCATCTACTCAGTGGATAAACTGCACCAAGTTCCCCACAGGTAGCATGCTAAAGCATAGATCCAAGCACAGGTAGCAGAACAAGATGTCCCTTTTTCATTTCCCTCCATCCATCCTGCCAGGAATGCAGCAAATCTTCTCTCAAGAAGCCTTTGTCTCTGAAATGAGCATTGTCCTACCAGCAATTCCAGAGCACAATGACATGGAATAAGCAACATTCATCACTTGATAACATTTCAGTGCAGAATTTCTTTTGGTACCCATCAGTGAATGGATTGGATTTTCCTCTTCCTAGGACATCATGGACTTATCAGTATTGACAGAACCAGGTTAACAGCAATCAAAGTAACACTACGAATTCCTGCCCCTAGCAGCATGAAGAAGTGTATAATTGCTTTCCCACCTCTTTTTTTTTTTTTTTTTTTCTTCCCCTTGAGCTTAAAACTCACAGATTTTGGGTTGCAATACAAGTTACTGTAAAAATTCACAAATTCTGAAAAAGATCAGGTTGCAATACAAGTTGTTGTGGACCATGCTGTAATGGTGCATCCCTCTTTGCACCCTGCCCAAGGCCTGCCTGGGAAAAAAAATGCCATTGCAAACAAGTAAATTCTGCTCAGCGATTTCTTTCAACTGCACAAAAGCAATGCTCATAGAAAAGGCAAGCTGAGGTTGCATAGCATATCTCTGTAATAAGAACAAAACTTAGATTCTGAAACATGCAGAGCTTTTCGGTTCATGCCAGAGATTGGGGGAGCTACCCCAAGCCTAGTCTAACAACAGTTAGTCTAACAACAATAACAAAAAGACCAAGCACGAGAATCTGTCAAAATTTCCAGCACTGTACTTCCTCATTTGCAAGCAATTCAGATGTGATTCACAAGCTTAAGGTCACCTTCTGGCAAAAAGACAGTAAATAAATAAATAAATCCAAACGTTCTCAGCTTCTACAATGGGAGAGACAAAACGCCCATGACTTAACCAACCTGTCACAAGTTATAAGCATAAACACCACAATTTTATATCTTCAGGAGGAACTTCAAATACGCAGAACAGCCTCTGGTTTTAATCTTATTTCTTTCCCTTAATGATTGACCTACATAAGCAACCAAATCCTTGACACTTTGTAGTTGAGCAATGTATATTTCCCTTACATGAAAAACATGTTCTTCAAGCAAGGGAAACATATATAAAAGTCACTAACTAATAATTACAAAAGACTGAGGACTGGAATGTTACTGTGGTTGCTGCTGTATTTCTGAATTTAAAAAAAAAAAAAAAAAAAAAAGGAGGAAGAAAAGATTTTAAAAGAACAACCTGGTGGAGATTTCAATCCATAAGCAGCACTGAGCTTGCCAGTTTACTGCAGCATTTGACAAGGCTGTAAGCCAGAGATTAAGGCACGTCTCCCGAGGAAGGAAAAGAACAGGAGCTTCCACACTTCATTAAGGATACGTTTTATTTGCAAACTGCCAGCCCACGGAGTGGCACTGACTTTTGGGTCATGGAAAAGGTTACAGTTGTGCACTTGAACTGTGCCAAGCTGAGCTAGATAATAGCCTTAAAAAAGCAAATCACAGAAAAATGATAAGAAAAATAGGGAAATCTATGATTGCAAACGACCTAAAATAGGACTTGAAAAGTACCTTGTGCTCCAGTCAGGTTTTTCCTCCTCAAAAACTGTACTAAAGCAGGAAAAGTGCCCAAAACAACAGGGAGCTGTTAGCTACAAAATACATATTCATGCAGTATTTTTTATAATTTAAGCATATATTCTCAGATTTATTTCACATAGATTGCTTTAAAAATGTTAATGTCCCTACAGAGTCGAGCCTTATCATTACTTGATCCTTTGCCAAAGACTGTACTGGCACTCCATGACCGTATATATATTTTTTACTAAGCTATTGTTGCTTTTTCCTGGCTTGTTTTTCAAAATCTGAATAGAAATGCATAGCTTGTACTGTTCAAAGTATAAATCATAAATCACTCATCGTAAAGGGCCAATTCTTGGAGTCTTTATTTGGTATTTGCACTGGCAATTTCCCAATCATTTTCAAATGGAGTTGTATTTGAGTACAGGCACGGATGCCAGTAAAGGTAACTTTTCTTTGCTCCAGGAAAAAGAGGTTTAAGAATAAACCTTTGTGTTCAGTCCCAGATCTTCTTTGCATTAACATCAATAGTATCGTTTGCAATGAAATGTGTTCAATACCACAGAAGTGCCCAGAGGAACTTTACTGTGAAATTTGACTAAAAATAGGTCTTGAATTCACATGTGTGCACCAACAGTGATCGCCAGCAGACTTTTGAGCTGCCCGGACTGGACATGCAGTTGATATGTTTGCAATCATTGAATGCATCATCACAGTTATTGCCCATTGAGTCAAGTACTGCAAGAGTTTTTCACACATTCAGAACCCATAGGAAGAAAGAATAAAAAATTATGATGTCTTTATGCTGTTTTGGCATACCCACTTCTTTTGTAAGGATATAGTGGCAGGAGCTAGATCTAGAAGAGCATGGATTTGAACAGCTCACAAATATAAAGGAATCTAAAAAGGATTTGAAGGCCTACAATGGATGCTGATGTTAACCACCAACTCTCTCAACAACATTCCTCCCACCTGGCATTGGATGGAGGTCCTTGGGCACAATCTTTCCTCCAGTAGAGTCTCTCTGCAGCTGGATGAGTGCAGCAAATAATATTGGCAGAAGCAAAGGTGCAGATACATCATAATCTGAGATTGTGGCTGTATACCTTCATCAATACCTAAAGAAAATAAAAGTAAAACTAAAGTCATTTACGGACACAAAATGCTCCTGCATTCTCTGTTTTTCTTCATTACCAATGAAAATATGAACTTAATGAAATAAAAATATACAAAGTAGCAAGAGTTGTTGAAGCACTGAAGGCACAATGATCTCAGTAAAAATTTGTCTTTCTTATTCTTTTAAATGCATGCTGATCCTAGAGTACTCAGTTTTATTTCACATATTTATAGAATGGTCTATCTTACTCAACTATAGCTGAGAGCTTGTTCCCCAGTTGAAATTCCTGGTCCTCCAAGGTTTTCAGCCCCTAATGAGCATTAGTACCACTACTTTCACCCTAACCCAAGATGTCATGATGTCTTGACAACCATAATTAGCAGCAAAAATGGCACCTATGCTTGGTCTAAGCAAAGATGACAATCTTGGGTAAGCATCATTAATGAGGTCAATAAATCTACTTTGTTCCATTCCCAGAGCCATCTCCCCTTGCCTTTCTGTTTTGCTATTCATGGTCATACAGGGAAGGGAAAAATCAGGAGCTGTAAAGAATTTCCTATTTTTTATCTTCATCTTTTAGGATAACCAAGTGTGTGAACTCTGGAGGAACACTCAAACTATTTCTAAAGATGAGAGTAAGGCTCAGTTCTGATTCAAGTTTCATGATAAAAATTATCAGCCAAAATACATTCATCTAGGGAAGAAGAATGTTGTTACTTACAAGAGAGAACATTTGAACTGTTGGCCAACTTCGCTCTGTTCCTATAAATTTTCTTCACTTGCCATGTTCCTTTTGCAAGAGAAAAAAAAACAAGCTATAAACATTAGTTAGCTTTGTGGTGAGGTGTTGCTCTGCCAACCTGAGGTTAGAAGTGGAGCTGAGATCCCAAGAGCTAGGCTTTGTATTATAGTATTGTATTTTTGATGCGGTAGTTAGAAGTCAATTACTGTTTCCATTATAAACCCTGTTTTCCAAGGGTTTATACCTCAACCATTTTCATTTCCATCATGCTGAACTTGGCATACAAGCAGTATGAATACACAATTTTTAAATAGACTAAATGAGGCTGGCTCATTTTTAGATACAGAGCCACTCTATGTCAGATGATTTTTATTCATTGAATTTAACAAACTATAGTTTCACTTTAAAAACTGGATTTTGTCAGTGAACTGCCTCTGTGGTTGGGCCTGATATCTTTTACACCTTCTAAGGAAAACAACTATATTAAAAAATATACATATAAAAGCCTACTGACAAATTTTTCTCTGTAAGTCTGATTTTCTTGGCATTTCAGATGCCAAGACTCCCACACCATATGTTTCATTGGAAACCATTGTGTATCAAGACCCTTGTGGCTCAAAGGTGGGTTTTATCCCAGTAAGTTTTCCTCCTTTCGGAAAACTAGATCAGGGCAACAACTCAAGGGTCAAAAGTCATCAGTGATTGTATCTCTGGAGGCTTCAGGAATCTTTGGAGTTGATGTGAGCAGAGGAACCATCCCCACAGGTCTCCCCACTCTGACTCAAGGCTGACGGTGGCAGGAGAGACAGATGGAGGGCTGTCCACAGGCCAGGTGAGAGCCAGAACAGAGTGTACCCTGTAAAGACCAAAATCCAGATGGCCACTGGCTGTTCAAGTCCTCCATCTGGGGCTGCATGTCACTTGGTAATTTCAGTCAGCAGATACTAACTGCTTAAAAGCTACTTCAGCTTAAAAAATTCACTTTGCCAAGACCACAACAAATATTTTCTTTGACTTCAATTTCCATGCATTCCTTTCACCTGATTTTCCTGTATTTTTTTTTCTCTTAATTGAAGATAGTTGGAATCACAGAGCAGTGACACAAAAGTTTCACAATTCAGCTTTACCACTAGTAAACAGACTCACATGCAATTCACCCCATGAATGTTTATTTCCATTAAAAAAAGGTTTGTTTCTTACAAAGAACTCAAACTTGATTTTTACTCTAAATGTTTCTGTTATTTTTTTCCACACATCTTCCCTGTAGACCAAAACCAAAAATGAACCAGCTACTTATTAAGATGAACAAGATCACCCTAAACTTCTAAAGCATCATCTCACTGACATTTCAAACATTTTCTAACAAAAAAATTTTTTAGAGCATTCCAGGAAGATATGCAAGTTTACCCTAATTTTTCTTTTGTTTTGGAAAATAAATCATAGTAAAACAGTGATTCACCAAAATCTCACAGATCAGGGTCAAAAGCAGGAATAGCACAAACATGCCATGGGACAGGCAGGTTGCCTGCAGGTTGCTGTCCCAGCACAGAAAATGAGAAAGTCATTAGGGGCTGATCCAAATTTTGCTGACAATGATGGATTATGATAAGCTTTAGATTAAAATCTTATTTCTCTCCTACTTTGGAGTGAGAGAGAATCTAGGCTGATGTTTGCGAGATCGCCCAACATCGCTCTGCACATAACCATCACACCAAGGTGAGGTGCCATGTTAGTTAAGCACAACACTGAGCTTTGTCACTGTGGCCATTTCCATTGTATTTTTAGGTTGACACAGTTTTGTTTTTTTTTTCCTGTGCAACAGATAGGGCATAACACAAAGGTGGAATGCCCAATATTGGGTTGCCATCTTCCCTTTCAAAGTCTACATGCAGTCATCTCAACCCGGGTGCTCTGAGTGCATGCTCAGATCATGTTTTTGTGAACACTGACAAGAACAACTATCTCGAAAGCTATCAAAGCCATCCTCATTATCCTTTATGGGCTGTGTAGAAAATGTCACCACTATTAGACATTTAACTGGAGTGCAGTAGAATGGTTTTGCCGGCCCCCTCCAGTTCTTCGGGTAAAAGCTCTGTTCATAATCAGTTTCTGCTTTTTTTAATGACCCTCAAGAGGTCCCTTCTGGTACACTTCAGTTCCCTTTCTAGCGTCCCATTGATTTTACAGACTTTAGGAACTTGCTCTTAACCTTCTGCTTTTTCCTGCATCTCTGCTGAATGATTAGGCACTACACAGCCTTTTGTTACCCTGAACACCAAGAGATATCTGGAGAATTAAAACACCAGCTTCAATAACATTTGCTAGAGAAAGAGAGCACTCTCCTCTCAGGGCTATTCACCCTATTTATGTACATGATTTTTTTTTTTTGGAAGAACGACTTCAGATTTATTATTTTTTTAATTATTGTAAGAAACAAAAAAGATAACAAAGCTATCTTCTTGAACAGAAGAATGAAATTCACTCAAGAGTTCACATTTGTACTATGAATTCTAGCAGCAGAAGTAGGAGAATTTAGTATTGGGAAAGGGAGGGCAGAGCCTGGTGGGCAGAGTGTAAGCATAAAAGGTAAAGGGTTTTTCTTAAAAAAAAAAAAAAAAAAAAAAAAAAAGATTTTAAAGGCTTTTCCAAACAAAGTCTTTCCACTTATCTGATTTGATTCATATGGAGCCACATCATTGCCAGAAGTACATGCTTGGGGGGTGTGGTTTCTCTTTTTTGAAGTTAGAGTGGTTGGAGAGATACCTCTGTTAAGACATGTCAGGTAAATTCAAGGAGAAAGAGCTTGGTGCAAGGGCATCCTCTTAATCACAGCACAGCAGAGCTGCAAAGTTGTGATTAAAAGTGGTGTTCCTCCAAAAGCTCTGCCCCATCTCACATATCCTTACTTCACCAGGGTCCTGCTGCTTAAAGTACTGCTTGCCCTTGTGTGATTTTAGGACCACTTCAACACTGTGCAGTGCCCAGGAAATGCATACAAAAATATGTTAAAAAAAAAAAAAAAAAAAAAAAAAAAGATAAAGAACAAAGCTCTGGCTCTACAAAACATCCCCAAATTCTTCCTGGAGGGTGAAGTTTGGACAACCCCATTTGCACCAACAGGTTTGGAGTAGCGTGCAGGGATGACTGCAGCCCAATTACTCAGCTCTCGCTGCCTCTCCGAAGGATGATGGGGGGAGTAAACAACCTTAAACCCAAAACAGAAATGGCATTCTTCTGCTTGTTGCCGAGAGGCCAGCTGAAAAGGAATCATTATAAAGAGGTTGATGTTTTCAGGGGGAGACAGAGGACTCACCCGAATGATCCCAGTTAAGGGCCTTAACAGAGAGGCGGCTTAACTCCGCTTTGGAAGTGGTGAGCCGCCCTGCTTGGCTGAGCTTGGATTGTGTTACTGCAGGAACATGGCACAAACAGGGATACCCCCTCCTTTTAAAAACTGCTCGCTCCCAAAATAGCAACACAATTTAGCAATATTTTGTATCAAGACAATTACACTCTAGCATTATTGTAGTCTTAGTACCTCATTAAAACAAAAAAATGTTAAATCCTTGTTTTGTTGAACACAAGAGATGAATAGTAAATATTGATTTAGAATGAATGCAAACATTTCCCTAGGAGTGGATAATTACAGCCTTTCTATGCAAAACACTTATATTTGAAGAAGCACTTCACTTACTTTGCCATGTGGTATACATTCTTTAGTACATTTTAAATTATACGTTGTCCTGGACAGTGTCTGCTCTATAATTTCTTGTGTCTCTACACCAGAGTCAGTATGTAATTTTAAACTGCAAACTTTCTGCCAACTAGGAGAGGAGAACAGGCTTAACTCTTTCCCAGAGCCGCTCTCAGGAGCAGCCCAGGCTGCACATGCAGACATGAGGCCGGTTTGCTCAGGGCTGGAGCAGCACCGAACGAGTTTGGTTTAGCTGGAATCCCACAAAGATGCTACTCCCAGCAGTCTTCGTTTTTCACACGACATTTTCTGATTACGTACGAGGCCTGATGTGCTCTCATTTCCAGCCAGATCAAATGGAGTCCAAAAGTTTGAACAAACCGGAGAATTTGCAAATGAAGAGCTGAGCTTTGGAAGAGAGCATCTAGGTTGAAAGCTCCCAAACACATATTTGAAGCAAATTATTTATCCTACTTATTTTGGCATTCAGACACTCGTTTGCAGATGGAATGGGACTCTTTCTAAGAAGAGTCAGACATGCACACGATGCTTCATGAGAGCACAGTTTACGCACAAAGCCCCCGCCACGCATTTTAAACCATATAGGTTTATTAGGCTGCAAGGCTGGGACGTAAATTCATATGCAGCTTAATCAGGCAACATAAACGTGAACACAATATGCCCCTGCAGTAACTCAGGAGATTAATTCACATGACTTGTGCATTTTGTTATCTTATAGAACCACAAGCACCCCTAGCGCACACATTTTATGGGCCAAATTTTCCAAACCTGGGACCTTGCACCTAAATTATTTCCATCAGTATTCACATCCTCCTCTTCCCTTCCTCAGAACAGAGAAAGGCCTCCATGGGTATTTAAACACTTCCCAACCCACACAGCATTTACAGATATGCTTACATCCCCTTGATACATCACACCAGGAGGGGCTCATGAGTTTTGCTGGATACAGAAACTTCAGCCCCACAGCAGACTCTAGTTAATTTGCTGAAGTAATGAGCATTGCAAGGGCACTCGAAGGGAGAGCAAAGAGGATCTGATTGTGATTCCAGACATGGACCACAAATTGTATCAACTAACTCAGCACCAGCACTGTGAACAAGAGCACAGTGCTCTGTTTGGAAGCCATTACACTTGCCATATACTCTGATTACCTCCAGTATTTTCAGTAAAACTGAACTACAGACTATAGCTCCAACACTTGCATACACACTTGAGTTTGCTCACAAAGCAAATTCCAGGGTGAACACTCCTGAATTTTCAGCCTGTAAACCCGTGGAGTATCTCTTACTGTATTGTTAGATTTAAATGCAGAATTAAAAAGATTTGAGTAAAG